CACACCAACCTGGGCATCTTTGGGTTTCCCAGAGTTTCCCCAATTCGTGAACTTTATGCGCCAGCAATCCCGAGACAGTACGGTGAAGTGCTGACAGTGAGCACCCACAACGTGGAACTGAGACGAAGGCTTGATCCTAGAGCCGTACTTGCAGGGTAAAGTGGTAGTTCATGGTCGGGTTCCATGTTCATGCTCTGCTTCCACATGCTACGGGCTTGGCTTGTAGAACTGAGCTGCCCACGAAACTTGCATCATAAAAAGTCGCTTGAATTCCGCAGCTCCTCGGCATCACACAAGATCCTACCTCACATCATCCTGCAGCAAAACTTATGCCTACAAACATCCTGCAGCAGAAGGCCAAGGCTCCTTCTGCTGCGAGCTTCTCATTGTCTGACATTTGCCGACCTGGAGCGCTTTGACAGCCACGCTGTACCCTCGCCATGCTTTCAAAGGATGGGTGCATCAACGCTTTTCTCAAAGTGATGATCTATAGCGAGCTAGCGAGCTAGCTAGCTAACTATCCGACTAACCAGCTATCAAGCTACTAAACTTGAGGACTGTCTACCTATCTCCATCTCGCTCTGTCTGCTTGCTTGTCTGTTTGTCGGTACGTCTGTCTGTTCATCTGTCTATCTACTACCACTTGAGTTGATGCATGTATGTATTGCATGGTCTACAAGTCTGCCATATTCTAGATCTTGGACTGATCTGTACGATGACAGTTTCAAGCCTTCCAGAAATTTCCGGGGGGCTTCTGAAAATAGGGGACCCTAGTATAGTACCCCAAATAATAGGATCCTTAATATAAGGGCCCCAAAATAAGGTATCCCTAATATTCGGAAACTCCCAAATGCGACTGGTAGCATGCAAGTGAACACGCGCAGCAGCGCAGGCCCGAGGCACTGACTAAATCGCCAAGGGGTGATCGTCGTCGCCGTACAGCAAGCTCCATTTGGACTCCTGGGAAGCCCGGCACAGCTCTCAAAGGGTAGCACAGAGAGAGTCAAAATAAAAGGGATGATGAGAAGCATCTGCGCCAACACAACCACGAATACTAATAGTATGATCTAGATCAGCTAGGCGTCAAAATGAGGACTTACAAAAACTTACACATCATAGCGCAACCTTCCCTCCTCTCAAGCATGCAGCATGCCTTGTAGGCATCAGCAGAAAGAGAGGGCTGAATGGGCGGGGTGTTGTTCACCTGCCCAGGCTTCTCGACGTCGGCTTCAAGTTCGGGTTTCCAAATTTAAAGTTGTGGGGCTGGGCCCCTAGATCCTATACCCTAAGCTCCAAAATCTAAATCCAAAGCCCAACTCGATGCAGTCTACATCATGAGTTTCATCGACCCTGAACCCTAAAGTCTACTGCCCTCACCTGGATTCCTCCCTGTAGCCCTCACTTCGTTTGCAGGGTGAACAACCTCTAAAATAGCAGGAAACGACGTTGAACAACAGCAATTGGCAATACTCCTCGGACAAACTAATAGCTATCTGAAATTAGAGCCACGGAGACACAACCTCCCTAAACCCTGAAATCCCTAACTTGGAGCTCAAGGACTGAACCCCCTTACAACCCTAAGCACTAAAAAACCCCAAGCCCTAAGAGCCCTAAACACCAAAGCCTTAATCACCTAAATTCAAGCCCCCGGTGGGGCCTGCGTGATCAAGGCACGGTAGGCTCCGCTGTCGCGGAAGGCGAGGCCTGGACTGTATTTCGCCCCAAGGCCTTCGGGGCCTTTGGGGTTTAGGGATTTAGGGCTTAGGGTTCAGGGCCTAGGGGCTGTGGGGCTTTCGGGTTCAGGGGCTTGGGGTTTAAGCTTTAGGCTTTAGGGTTTACGGGTTTGATGGGTTTAGGGGGTGTACCGTTTCGGAGTATTTGTAGGGTTTCTTTTCGGGGGCCTCAATCATTAGAATCGGGTTTCATGGGACTTTAGGTCATGTGGGAGCCTTAATCAGTAGAATAGGATTCTTTTAAGGTTCTACCAGGGTTTTTGTTGGGTTCAGTATACTTTATAAGGGCCGTAATAATTGGGATAAGGCAAGGTTTGGGGGTAGATTATGCCACAGTTAAATTCATGGCTCCAGCTTACCCCTCGATGGCTTCTACCCCGGGATTAACGGACAAAGAAACCCTGGAAAATCTGTTCAGTATAGTGGGACATAGATGTGCCACCCTCAGTTTTAAAGTAGGATTGAGTTAAGGTATTTTCTGGACTTCTCTGGACAAAACGGGTCCCAGAAACATTTCACAGGGCCTCAAGGGCTTTATGAAAGGTTCTCAATGTTGCTCGAGCTTTTGGGTTATACAATGCTTCCTCGATAGGTGCTTCCAGGGTCCAAGCGCCTACTGCCTACCTGTAGCTCTTTGGACCCTTAGAGAAATGGGTAGTTCTCTAAATTACGGTCCCTTTTAGGGTCCTTTTATAAGGGTGCCGTACTATATTGGGGGCCTAAAAGGGGACCCTAATTTAGAGAACTACCCAAATTGAGGTGCCGGCACAGCGACAGCCTTGGCCCTTGAGCCCACCTTCAGAGCACAGCTCGCCAGGCATGTTGCAGAACTCAGGCGACTGAGGATCCGGCTTCAGATCTGTGCAGAAGCCGGTGGTCTCCTAGCAGGGAGCTGCCTATCCCAAAAAGCAATCACACCACTCATCACCAAGAAAGAGCAAGAACAGCAGCAAGAAACTTCGAGGCCAAATTCCCTCGGCTTTTTTTGTGCTTAAATGCCAAGGCCGGGGCCCACTGCATCTCTGCGTTCGGCGTCGCCGTGTGGCTGGCCTCCAAGTGCAACACACTGCTTTAAGGTTCGTGCACAAGGCGTTCGACATCTGTGTTCCCATCACGCAGTACCTCCTGAACCGCATGTGTTTCCAAATCCGACCAATTCCAGACCACTCTGAATGCCCAGCGTTGTCCATCGCCACTCTCCATCGACGGAAGAAGGCAAGCTGGCCGCCTCGGAAACTCTCCATCATCCACTGCACCAAGGAAAACGTGCAGGCTTGACTAGCATCCATAGCGGAGCTCTCTGCGATCAGACTCAACACCATGCCACACCCTGCGGGAAGTCTTGGATGAGGACCCCTGTGTGCAGCACCGCATACGGCAAGGTCCACGACAAGGGGGCCCCCAAAATCAGATATATATATATATATATATACATATATATATATATTATATACATATATATATATATATATATTATATTATATTATATATATATATATAGTATCCTACAGCCGAAGACTCAAACAAGGCCCCAAAGGCTCTCAGCTCTAGACCCAAAGCCTCCCAGTTTGCCCCCGAGGAAGCCAGGCCTTGTAGGTACAGGCCCATGGCTCCCTGCGCAGAGCTTCAAAGCTCGGAGGACAAGAGCGCTGATTTTAGGGTTTAGGGTTTAGGGTTTAGGGTAATGCATGTCCATTAGGGCATTCCTTAACGTGCCGGTTCATCATGGCGCTGATGGCGTTTAGCACAGACTTGAAGGAGGAACTCGGTGGCTTAGCACAGACTTGGACGAGGAACTCGGGTGGCTATGGATAAACAAACATATGAATGCGAAGGGGGTCCTGGGCTTCACGATAAGAGTAGGCGGCGAACATGCCACAGTCATACTCTAGCCAATGGAAACACCTAATTTGATCGTCATGCCGTGTAGAGATGATGGCATGCGAGAATGCCGTGCATATGTATACATACATACATACATACATCCATCCATACATACGTACATACATCCCTCCCTCCCTCCCTCCCTCCCTCCCTCCCTACCTACCTACCTACCTACCTACCTACCTACATGCATGCATGCGTACATACATACAGACATATATATATATATATATATGTATATCTGAGAAACCGACTATAACATGTTGTGTTTTGTTCTGTTGAAGTCCCGGCAGATGATGCCACCTCGAACTTCCGCCCGGGAGGAGCAGGAGGAAGCAAGTGTATGTACCTGTGACCCGATCGGGAGGGCATCGTTTCTGAGCGCTACAACGACCGAGGGTTTAGGTATTGAGGGTTTAGGGGGTCATAACCTACCCCCTGTATCAGGTACCTACGGCTACATCCGTTTGGAAGGAAGCAGTCTGAAGCACTACGTAGGCACAGGCTGTTCACATTCTCGCTAGGGGCGTCGAGGATGTAAGCCGGGTTTGGAGGCTTCTGTGGGCTGGGATTCAACTGTTTTTGGTAGGGCGGGTTCAGGATCTAGTTTCCGATCGAGCGCAGTTATCGCAAGTCAAACATTTTGTGATTCGTCTGCCAGCGCAAACTTGGTTCGCATTCCAGACTTTGCCATTGCTACTGGCTACTGCCATGACTGCTACTGCCGCCCCCAGCACCACGACCAGCACCAGCAACACTGCTCCCAGAAGGTAGATCGACCTCGGTCTACTACGAAGCCGTGCTGCCCTGCATCTTTAGGGGAACCACTCCTCCGAGTTCTCTCCAACCCCTACCCCGTAAGAAGCAACTGAATCCGAAAATGCCTACCTTTTTATGGGTGGTCACCACCATGACCCCCTACACATGTGGAGTTTGTAGCGTTTTTTGGCGGGCCTTAAAGCTTTCTTGAACGGAGCTGCATCTTGAGTCTCACAGCAGGAAGTGCGCAGCGCCTCAGCCTCAGAAAGCACTTGCATCGTCCTATGGGCAGGAAGGACTCAAAGAGTGCAAGAACTGGAAATCTGGACGGAGAGAGGCACTCCACTTCGGGTGCATCTCTTCACTGCACGAGATCGTTCTACCAGCTTCTGACTTTGACAATACATATACTTGTGGAGCAACAAGCGCCCCCACCGGCGGCCACTTTGCTTGCAGCTTCATCCGCTGGAAACCTTCAACTATGGCAATGCATTCATAGCCAGGTACCTCGGGGAACTCCGAGAGCAGCCTGTCAAAGTCTTTTGTTGACAAAGCTTGCGGTGCCAGATTCTCTTCTTTGGAGTATTGCCAATCCTGACGATCCTGCAAAAACCGGGACACTCCGGAAATAGCTGCCAAGTTCCCAATGTGTATCGCCAGGGGTTGGGAGGAGTTACACTCCATCACCTGAAGACCTGTAAGAGCAACTCCACCAGGGTAGTTGAGAAATGAGGCGACCGTCATAGCAGCCGTGACAAGGAGGGTTGACAGAGCCAGGCCCATGAGGCTGAGGACAGCAAGACTCCTCCAGAGCCCCTTCCATCGCAGTGCACGTGCCACGGCGGTGGCCGCCACCGCATTCAGCAGAGGCAGTGCCGGGAAGATGAAGCGTAGCTCCTTATGGGGCAAGAAAGAGTAGAGAGCCACGAAAGTAAGAGGCACCAGAACCAGTTGCCGCGCCCGTGGCTCGACGATGACGGCGAGAAGCAGAAGTGGAGCTGCTCCCAGGAGAGCTTTGGGAAGAGCAGAGTAGAAGTACCAGAGCGGCGGAAGAATGCCCCACTCGCTGGACTTATTTTCCGCTGTGTTGAACCATAGGACCTCGAATTCTGGCCACAGCCATCGCTGCCACAGCACAGAGTCAACGGACACCGAGGCCACAGCACCCAAGAGAGCAGCCAGGGCAGTTGCAGCCGCTGCCTTGAAGAAGTCCACCCGGCGCTGCCACAGCAACAGCAGCCCGACGGGAGCGATCAAGACCAGAAGGTCGCAGCGGAACACGGCAGCTGCCAGGCCTAGCAAGACAAGGCATCGGTAGCCGGAGCCGGCCACCAGATGCGCATGTGCCAAGGTTGCCAGCTGCAAGGCGAACACGTTCGGAAGGGTCCGGCTCATGTAGAAGGGCAGGTGGAACTGAATCAAGGTTATGACTGCCAGTGCGCGTGACGCTTGCAGGCCGAACTCCAAAGCAACTGCCCGGCGAAGACGTGCAAAGGCGGTGACCGAAAGGAGGCCGAGCATGAAGCGCACCAGCCGCAGCAAAGATGAGGAGGATGAGGGAATTCCCAACAAAAGGCGCACAGGGAATACGAGAGCGGAGACCACGATAGATCCAAGGAAGGTGCGGGGCACGGCGCCTGGAAATTGCAGATGGTCCCACTCTCTCAAACCTGTACCATGCAGGAGCGCATCGTGGCATGCCTGGAGATTGAAGCTTTCCTCAACTTTCGTGAAGGGCGTCAGGAAGAGGTGGATCGTCACCACACAAAGCAACAAACCATCCCAAATCAGCTCTTGCCAGGACCCCATCCTTTGGCCCATCGACTAGCTTGTTAGCAGGAACTGTTCTGCTGTGAGCCAATGTAAGACTTCAAAGGCAACTAAAAAGCATGCGTAGCCACAGCGCACGCAGCCCAGCGTGCACGGAGTTCCCCAAAGGGCACGTTCCTTCGATGGCTCTCGGAGACTCGCGCACCTTGCGCTCTCCTTCGCGGATGCAACCCAAGTCGCAGAGCTGTTACTGCAGAGCATGACTTGGCTGCGATTACCTTTGCATGCTGGGCTCGCGACGAAGCACAGCGCCGGTTTCGGGGCTGAAGGTTACACCTGCTGGCACAGTCTGCTGGACTCGCCGCGCACATGCAGGTTTGATGTGCTTTGTCCTGTTGCTTGGGCGTGGACTGCTCCGTCCACCGTTCTCAAAGTCAACAACGGCTAGGCTCAGGTTGTCGGCATTGGCACTCACCTCAGCAGCGCAGCACTGTTGACTCTACACTCGCACAGGAGGGATGCGCAGACTCATCCAAAAACTCAAGGGCAACAAAAGTTGGCAGAAGCCCCTGCTGGCCTCCACCTCCACGTAAATTCCAATCTCTGGCTTCTCTTTCAAGATGTCAGAGCCTAGGATGTGATAGCGTGCAGCGTCTGCTCCTAGCGACTGCTCAGCAAGCCCGAGCCCTCCCTGAAATCTCAGATGCGGGCGGAGTCGGCAGCGGCAGTACGCAACCTGCAATCAAGCCAAACCTTCCACATAAACCAAACGACAGAACTTAATCCTTACACCCCGTCACCCTACAGTCGCCGATTGCATGTTCCCTCACGATGCACGATACAGCCATCCATGTTTGTTGGGGCTATGAAGTCTTATCCTGCTATCATGTTTCACTCACTCATCCTGCAGCACATGTTTATTCATTCTCCTACACAATTACTACACAACCCTACATGCCAACCCGCCCCTAAAAAACCCCGGACCCAAACCCAAAGCTCAATGTCCTAAGCGCGATGAGTAACAGTAAGCCTAGCAGTGCCCTTACAGTATCCACCTAGTATTTGTATCCCGTATAGTAGCATTCTAGCACTTGTATCTTTATGATTTATAATATCACGATAGTCACCTTTAGAGTATCCTTACAGTAGTCTTCATAGTATACTTATAACTGATAGTATCCCTATAGCATCGTGATTTAACCTTATAAACGTCATGGTAGCCTTAACGCAACCCTGGAAGCATGGACCTCGAGGCTGACGGACTTCGAGCTGCTTTTACCAATCAATGTGTGGAAGTGGCTCCAGAAAATTGGGGCTTTTCGGTTTGGGGTTTCGGTTTCGCACAGTGGCTGAGCTGCTAAGATTTAAGGCTCTTCGAGTTGCTGACTTGGGGCTTTACAGTCGAGGACTCTCTGTAGTATCCTTAAAGCATCCGAAGAGTAACCTTATAGTATCTGCATCATAACCCTACGTAAACTCTTCGTACAGTGGGCTTATATTACACCTAGCATCTACTTGGAGGATCATGGGACTTAGTAAGTAAGGTTATAAGTCCTTTAATTGGGGTTGTAAGTCTAGTTACCCTAAACCCTAAACCCTAAACCCTAAACCCTACTTACTGAGTCCCATGGTCCTTTAAACACCCGACTGCTCGCCTCGTCAGGGCTGTCGACCTTCGCGATTTCGGAGCCTGGCAGGGACGAGGGCCTGAACCCAAAGACCCAGCTAGACACCGAACGCCCTAGGATGGAGCCCAAAACATAACCCGAGAAGCCCTAAACCCTAAACCCTAAGCCCTAAACCCTACCCTGCGCCCCCGAAGCACTGCACTGCACGCCCTTGATCCTGCAGCTGAGGATATCGCCGCTGAAGGGCGGACTGAAGGTCGGCGTTATTTTGCCTCAGGCATGTCGGGTATGGGGTTTAGGGTATAGGGTTTAGGGTTTTAAGGTTTAGGGTTTATAGGGTTTAGGGTTTAGGGCGTCAGAGTCAATAGGACTCGGGGGTTAAGGGGTTTAGGGGTTAAGGGTGTTTAGAGGTTTAGGGCTAAGGGTTAGTGCTCTAGGGCTTGGGGTATCGATCTAGGGGTTTAGAAGTTCGAGAGTCTTGAGGGTTCCATCTGGGCTCGGTGAGCATATGAATGAACCCTAGCGAACTGCTATAGATACGGTGCAGAAACATGTATAGATACCAATAGAAACATGAGTATATGCAGACATAGATACAGATGTCTGTACGGAAATAGATATAGATATAGATAAAGGTATAGATATAGGTATAGATATAGGTAGTGAGATATCTATCTATCTATCTATCTGTCTATCTGTCTATCTGTCTATCTGTCTATCTGTCTATCTATCTATCTATCTATCTATCTATCTATCTATATATTTACATCTATACAGATAGATATAGATACAGATAAAGATAGATATATAGGTATAGACATAGATGTAGCTACCGATCTAGATACAGATATCGAGATCCAGATATAGTAGAGACACACCTCACCCATATATGCCGTTCTGCATTCTTCCTCCCTCCGTCCCTTGGTGAACATCGCGCAAGTTGGGGTCGCCACGGAACTTTTCACAGCGAGCCTGTGGGCGAGCACAGGCTTCGAGGGAGGAGCTGGTGGTCGGCCCTTCTGAAGGGCCTTTAACCTAGGGACTTTTAAGGGATCAAAAGAAGGGATTACTATAAGGGATTATATAGGGACTATATGGCATCACTATAGGGGCTTCTACAAGGGATGATGTAGGGACTTCTACAAGGGATTGCTAGAAGGGATTACTAAAGGGATTATATAGGGACCGCTTTCAGGGATGACTAGAAGGGACCATCAAATTGTAAAGGGTAGTATAGGGGCTACTTTCGGGGATTCGGGTTTGAGAGGTTACGACTGGTGCAAGACCGTTCCGAAACACCATTAAAGCTTTTTGAACTCTGCAGCTCTGGTCTGACACGGCTGTCAGACAAACGCCACAGCCCAAAGGAAACGAAATATGGCACCTACGAACTCAAGTCCTAAACCGTTGGGCTCCACGCTTCGAGCACTAGACTGCATTGATCCCGAAACCCAAAGTTCCAACATGTCCCAACACTCATAAAACGCAAACGTAACGAAACAATCAAAAGCATCCAAGATCGGCAACAAAAACATGATAAACACAATGAGAGGTACACACGAAAATACAAGCCCTACAGACAATGACCACTCTACACTGTGCCCCTACATCACATGAGTCCCTGGCCCCTTAGCCTCAAATCCAGCCCTAAACTAAGCTCGCCACCCCAACTGGACCCCAAGACCCGCCTCAAGACCCTAAACCCTAAACCCTACCCGTCTAGAGCCCCAAAGCAGCGCTAGGGGCAACCCCACGGCCTTCCAGTTCTCAGCACCACAGGCCTGTCAGGGGGGTTCAAGGTGGAGGCCTCGAGCTTCTTTTTTTTTTTTTGGGGGGG